GCTAGCATTTGCCAGTGACAGTGCGGACACTGCCTATGTCCTAGGAAAAGGAAGAAATGTGGAGCAGAACAGAGGATGCTCAGCTGTGGGACCAGACTCATCATGTGTAAGCACATGAGGGAAATGCTGAGCTGCTAATGGACAACTGTGTGCTGAGCTGGGCACACTAGCTGCTTCTGTTATGTGCTGTATAACATGCCGAAAGCTGAGAGACCCCGACGTGACGTGTAGCTGAATCGCACAGAAACCAGTGGGCCTGCACTTACCAGAGCTCCACGTTCTGATGGAGCTCCTGCCCTTTCTTTACTACTTGCATTCACTGGCATGTGCCGAATTGGGAAGGTTTCAGATGCATGCTCCGCAAAGACTAACCGCACCCTCCCAGTGATATTGTGAAGGGGTGCCTGCGCGCAGGTTGTGTGCAAGGCTGGAGCAGAGAGCAACAGTCATCCTGGGTGGCTGCAGGTTAGAGCCAGCTCTCACTGCTCTGCTAGCTCATGTTCGTATTAAAAGGAACAAATATGCTTCTTCATGCCATGATAAAAAGAATGTCACAAAAGTGTTGGAAGGAGCCTCCAAACCATCCATACACCATGAAGGTCTCCATGCTGGCTACAAACACACCTATATGGTATGGGATGCTGGAGACATCATGAAGAATGGCGTACAGGATCTATGCTTCATGTGAAGAGTGGGTCCCAAACCCTGCAGGAAAGAGGGAGCTGATTTCATTTAATAGATTTCATATATTTCACAGACATTAGGGCTGGAAGGGACCTTGAAGATCATCAAGTCCAGCCCCCTGCCCCAGGGGCAGGAAGACAGCTAGGGTCAAAGCAAGATAAGCATCCAAACATTTCTTGAATGAGTTCAGAGTAGGTGCCTGCACCACTTCTGGAGGAAGTCTATTCCAGGCCTTGGGGGCTCGAACAGTAAAGAAGTTTTTCCTTATGTCCAGCCTGAAACAGTCATGGAGGAGTTTCTGAACATTGGTCTTTGTTATCCCTTGGGGCGCTCTCAGCCGGAGTTAGTCCAGCCTCTCAGCTGGAGTGGTGCTTGTGAGGATGCTGTACTGCCAACTGTCTTTGTTCACAAATCAGGGGAGGAGGTAAATTCCCAATCCCATCCCACCCACTTGACTTTGTGCCCAAAGCCTGATTCCTCCAGCTCTGTGCAAGGAAGTGCAAATGTTGTGTCATTCTCCCCTTCCTTCCCATGTTTTAATGGGTTGGGCAGTTCAAATAAGGCGGTGTTATTGTCCTGGCAGAATTGCAGCTTGCTGCTCACCTAAGGAGGGAACAATCACTGTGAGGCAAGCAGCTAGGATGTGTTGATTTAGGGCCTGAATCCCCAACACGTTTCTGCTGCTTGTACTGGTGAAAACAAAGAGCAGACGCACAACGCACAGTGCTGCACCAGTGTAGCTTACTAGGATGTGGTGTAGAGCTACCCTGGGGAACAACAGAGCTAAAACAACACTGGCATAAGTTACATCAATGTAGATGTGTCTGCTTCTATCCCGGGGTAGCTATTTGCTCCATATAAAGAAGCTCTTACCTGCTCCTCCTCCACGTATTTGTGAGACATTGTAACAGCAGCTACCCTTGAGAGAGCAGTTCTGTCTGTCTCGGATGGCCAGAGCCGACTCGAGTTGCGTTAGAAATTGCTCGTACATTAGGGCGGGCTGGTGAATGGAGAGGCAGACACAACTTATTGGTTGCAAAAACTTTATTTACGCCGCTTGCAATCACGACGCAGGTGGTCCGGTCGTCTGAACAACCACACGAGTTGTTCCAGCTGGCGGGGCCCAAGCCAGTTAGTCCGTCCGCAATTTGAAGCCGGCGGGGAAAGGGGTATGTCAGGGTTGCGCTCGGTGACGGGAAGAAAGATCGATAGGTGATCAGTCTATCGATCGGCAGCCGCAAGTCAGATAACTTCAG